CTGGACACCTTAGCTAGTGAGAGGATTCTTTCTTATTTTTTTCTGTCTGAATACAAGTGTTAAGGGGTACATAGCTGCCATTTTTTAGTGTTGTTAGCCATTTAGTGAATTTGAATCAGTTAGGTGTCTGGGGATCTCACTGGATAGAGACAAACAAATGACACAGTTAATAGTGAATTACCAGCCCTGTACTGGTCATACTCCAGTCAAAGTAAAATGCTCAATGTGTATTTAGCCTGCTTGTATTCATTATTATATTAAATAGGTATAAGCGAGTCTGTCGTAATTATGACTCGAATTCCAGAAGCAATAAGTAAAATGTGATGAAATAGAATCTGAAGCAAAAATTAAACAAACTTTGATGGCAAAAATACCACAAACAAAATCAAAAGACAAATGACTGCCTAGGAGGAAAATATTTGCATCTTATATCACAGATAAAAGGATAATCTCCTTAATATATAAAAAGCTCTAAAACATAAAAAAGAAAAAACTAGGCAATGGAAAAGCTATAGAAATGTTCTTAAGATTATAACATTTTTAACTTCATTTATTCTTGTCAAAAAGGTTTTAGTCTAATTATAAGGAAGTAATCAGATTCTGAATGAGTGTCTTTACTCAAGATAACTAGCCAAGGCTCTTCTAAAAAGACATTTCCATACAAAACAAAAGTCATGAGGTACAACTCAAGAAGATGAAAAATAGCTCAATAAAAATAAAATGTTTGAATAGATACTTCCTTAAAAGGATGTACACATGGCAGGCCAGGCACGGTGGCTCATGTGTGTAATCTCAGCACTTTGGGAAGCCTAGGCAGGTGGATCACCTGAGGTCAGGAGTTTGAGATTAGCCTGGCCAACATGGTAAAACCCTGTTTCTACTAAAAATACAAAAATTAGCCGGGTGTGGTGGCGGGCACCTGTAATCCCAGCTTCTTGGGAGGCTGAGGCAGGAGAATCACTTTAATCTAGGAGGCAGAGGTTGCAGTTAGCCGAGATGACACCACTACACTTCAGCCTGGGCAACAGAGGGAGACTCCGTCTCAAAAAAAAAAAGGATATACATATAGCAAAGAATCATATGAAGAATTGTACAATAGCACTAATTAGGAAAATCTAAACCACAAACGGAGACCACTACACACCTCCTAGAATGGCAAAACTTAAAATGGCCCACACCACCAAGTGCTGGTAATGATAAAAAGCAACTGGAAATTGCCATGTTTCTGGTAAGATTCCAAAATGACGCAGTCACTTTAGAAAACAGATTAGCAACTAATAAAATTAAGTATATACAACCCAGCAATTCCACTCCTGAATATTTACCTAAGAGAAATAAAAACATATGTCTATACAAGGATCTACATATACACAAATGTTTATAGCAGCCTTATTCATAAGAGCCAAAAAATGGAAACAGTTTAAATGACTATAGACTTATAAGAGATTAAACAACTTGTGGTATAGCCACACAATGAAATACTCTATGATAATGAAGAACAACCTATAGTTACCCCTAACAACTTGAATGAATCTCAAAAGCATTATGAAACCAAAGGAAGTCAGATACAAAGTCTACACATTATATGATCTAACTTCAATGACATTTTGGAAAAGATAAAATTATAGACACAGAAAACATGCACTTACTTGGGCCTGGGGATTAGAGAACAGGTGACTACAAAGAGGCAGGTGGGTACATTTTGGGGTGAAGGAAATGTTCTATATCTTGATTATTGCAGTGGTTACGTGACTGTACACATTTTTCAAGATTCATGGAACTGTACTTAAAAAGAGTGAATTTTATTCTTTGTAAATGATGCCTCACTTTAAAAAAAAGTAAAAAGAATAAAAACGTACACTGGAAAAAGAAGTTGAGGGTTAGACTTTAGTATGTTGTTGAAAATTGAAGTGATATAATAACTGAAAACAATGCATGAATATTTATTGTAGTCAGAATAAAACAAATAGCAGTGAATAGCTATAAAAAGACTGGTGGGGGAGGAAATGGGGAGAAGTAGGTCAAAGGCTACAAACTTGCCATTACGTAAGATGAGTAAGTCTAGAGGTCCAAAGTATAGAGTGAGGAGTATAATTAATAATATTGTATATGTACTAAAAATTTTCTAAGAGGTAAGATTCTAGGTGCCCTCCTGACAGATGAGGTAACTATGGAAGGTGATGGTTATGTCAATTTGCTTGTAGTAATCATTTTGCTATGTATATTTATATCAAAAAATCAGGTTATATACCTTAAATAGATACAAGAAAAAGAAGACATATTGAGAACAATGGAAACCTTCAATTCAGTTTTTATATTAGATAATCACCACCCCCCAATAAATCTGGAGGTTTCTAGCATTTCAACATTGGAAAAGAGGGGTAGGTCCTATAATGACTTTCGGCTATTTCCTGTGCTACCTCTTGTTTAACCATTTTGCTCCAAAAATTGGCATTTTTTCACTAAAATATATATCATTAATGTATTTAGTGTTTGTAAGTATTGAAAATGTAGTTTAAAATGTTAAAAAAAAGTTTATTTTAAAAAGAAGACCTTTTTTTAGGACATGGAAGCAATCATAGATTTATTATAAAACAAATAAAAAAAGATGCAAGCCTGAAGATAGAGGCTTGTCAGGTTCACAACTACACCAAATGTCATGTTGAGGTCTGAAGGCAGTGGGTGAATGAGCAGAACACTCAGGGAGCCCGTAGGCAGGTGAAAGATGATTTTATTTGACAGCAGCTCTCATCAAGAGCTTTTGCACACTGTCTGCTCCGTCTCGGCTGCTTAGTCCAGAGCCTTCCACACAAAGGTGAGCGACTGGCTTTCCCTTGCCTTCAGGGTCAGAGGTTTCTCTCTCTCTCTCTGGGCACGAGCAAGCTGAGCTATGTCCTGGCTCCCCTCTGTCCAGATGGACAGCTTTGGTTCTCTCTTTCTCTGGGTGCCAGTGCAAGCAAATGTACAGTGTTAGCAGGGCAATTATACCTTTTACAGATAATAGCGGCTTAGAGCCAAGGGATGGTCTTCCCATGTTATGGCTACATGTCTGTGATAACAAGTGGAGTTATACGCCTGTGCCCTAAACTCGCTGAATCACAAAGGATGTTAATATCCTACCTTGGCCTATCCTTGACCAAAGCACAGTCATGTTCCTTACAAGGCTCATGGGTAGAAATAAAAAGGATAATAGAACTGTAAGCAACCACCTCTTCAATGCTTCCATCCTCACCTTGAAAGTATTGCTCTTCCAGTGATTTAACCAGGTAATTTTAAGATTTAAACCGCCTATTCTTTACTAGTTTATTGACAATTTGATAACAATAGTAGTTTTGCAGATTGTCGGATGTAGGAGGCTAAGACTGGGTGGCTGAAAGTCGGAGACTGCCTTGTGCATCGTTAGGTACCTGTGGACAACGTTTTGACATTCATTTGGACTGAACCTTAGCACTGTCCACCTAGATAGCAATATATCTGAAATGATGTTTTAATGTACTTTTTATCTCAATACACATCAAATTTAAAAAGCATAATTATTAAAATTAAAATATATTTGTATCTTTAACACAAGTGAAATGCAAACATTTCAAAAACTTTTTAGGCCAGGTGCAGTGGTTCACACGAGTAATCCCAGCACTTTGGGAGGCCGAGGTGGGTGGATTACTTGATGTCAGGAGTTCGAGACCAGCCTGGCCAGCTTGGCGAAACCACATCTCTACTAAAAATACAAAAATTAGGATCGAGAACCCCACATAACTCTACTAAAAATACAAAAAATAGCTCGGCGATCCAGCTAGTGGCAGGGGCCGGCCTGTAATCCTAGCTACTTGGGAGGTCTAACACAAAATAGCCATAGGCACGAATCCATATTGCAACCCAGGAGGCAGAGGGTGCAGAGAGCTGAGATCGTGCCATTGCATTCTAGCCTGGGTGACAAGAGCTAAACTCTGTTTCAAAAAAAACAAAGACAAAAACAAAATAAAAACAACAAACTTTTAAAAAGAACAAATGCTAACTAATTAATTCTATTTTTTTCTTCTTTCTCCTGCCATCTTTTATTGGGCACCCATTTTGTGAAACTTAGGACACATAAAAATATAGCGGAATGGTCCCAACCTTTGAAGAGCCCATCATTTAATGGTATTTTAGAACTTTTAGAACAGACTAAATTTAATGATAAAATTCACATAATATCAAGGATAGTTAAATGCATTTATATAGTCTTTTCTATTTGTTTTTGGTAACCTTCTACTTTCCATGTTCTATTAACGTAGGACACAGTTGCTAAACTCTAATAACTGGTTATTAGTGAAAAAAAATCAGAATGTATTTGAACCAAACATTCGCTTAGGCTTGTTTTGGTAATGAGATTTTGAATTTGTCATTTTTAAGTTGGCATCTTCTGTTTTGAAGAAAGGAATCTAAGTGTGAGTAACTATTTACAGGCATTGCTACTCACAACGTAGTTTTCAGAGCAACATCCCTGCAATCTTAAAATGCGGAATCTTAGCCTTCACCCCAGACATTCCGAATTAGAATCTGCATTGTAAAGGGAGCCTCAGGTGATGTGTGTGCTCCTTAATGTTTGAGAAGCAAGCATTGCTGCTAATGGGCATCAACACAGCAGGCACTCTGAAGGCAAAACCCTGTAGACCAGGGATTCTCAAAGTGTGGTCCCTGGGTGGTCAGTATGAGCATGGCCTGGGAACTTGTGAGAAACATCAATTCTCAGGTCCCAGCCCAGTCTCAGTGAATCAGAAAACTAAGTGACACTCAGCTGTGCTTCAATAAGCTCTCCCGGTGCTTCTGATATCTATTAAGTTTGAGTGCCACTGTTTAGAGATTGGTTGGTGAGAACAGGTGAAAGTAGATGAAATCTTTCAATTCCCATGTTCTCAGGGCTTTGCCTTTTGAGATACACAGAACAATTAAATTATACAGTTATTTCTTTAGTGTTCAGATGTGGAGACAGATGTTATAGGATGATAGGAAGTTTTAATAAAGTAAACCTTAGTGCATAAAAATCACTATATCTGATGCTTTGGACTCTAAAGCAAGTGAAGACTTCTATTATACGTGGCACATTTTGCTTTATTTTTACTCTTGTTTTTTGACATTTGAGTAAAAACTAACATCTTAGAAAATGAAACAAAATTATATTTGTGGCACATGTGTGCTATTCAAAGTTGTAGTTAATTACCCACACCTGTGTGTGGCTTCAGGTATTTTGGCATATAAAGCTATCTAATTCTCCCCAACTTCTGTTTCCTGAGTGAGATTTGGTTTTCAATCTGGGCAAATGAAGACCATGCTGGGGTTAAGAGGGCTCTTTTTTCTCCATTCCTTGATATGGACTTGTGCTGAAGACTGGTCAGGTATAACTTATGACTTGGGGAATAGAAGTTTCTTAAAGAGGGCTGGAAGACGTGGCTTTGGATTCTTTACAGTTTTGGTCTGGTTGAATCTTAATAATAGCCAAGGACACATGGAGGGGTGGTGCATCTTTTAGAGGTGGAATCTTGAGATACCATGTTTTTCTCTTGCATACCAGCACTGAGACTAGGGAATGTGCCCTAGCCTGAGACCGTCTTTCTCCAACTCCCCGTTCCTTTTGATCTTATTCTCACCATATCAATTCTTGGGGCTCAAATACTTGAAGTGGGTTTAATACGAAGAGTGTCAAGTGGCCTGGAAAGCAGAGGAGTGGGTGGTGGTAGGAACTCAGGACTCTGTAGTGTGTCACATACACGAAGAAAGCCTTATAACGTCTTAGCCTTTCTTTACCTTATCCTTCATAGATCCTTTTCATTTCAGAGGGAGCAGTCAGTGCCTCCTAAGTGAGGTGAGCAGTGGTCCAGGCTTTTCCAGTACTTTTCCTGCGTCAGCCCTAAAAAGCTCCTGTCCGGAGCAAACCAGAATAATTGGTAGCCCTGAGTATAAACTCAGGCTGTCAGTTTCTCTCTTTCTCTTTCTCTTTTTCTGCTTCTCTTTCTCTTTTCCTTTCTTTCTCTCTTCTCTTTTTCTCTCTTCTTTTTCTTCTCTCTTGTTCCCTCCTCCCTCCCTCTTTTCCCTCCCTCCCTCTCTCTTTCTTTTCCCTCCCTCCCTCTCTCTTCTCCTTCCCTCCCTCCCTCCCTTCCTTTCATCATTTTTTTCTTTCTTTTTGAGACAAGAGTCTCGCTGTCACCCAGGCTGGAGTGCAGTGGTACAATCTGGGCTCACTATAGCCTCCACCTCCCGGGTTCATGCAATTCTTGTGCCTCAGCCCCCCGAGTAGCTGAGATTACAGAGGTGCACCATCACATCCAGCTAATTTTTGTATTTTTAGTGGAGATGAGGTTTCACCATATTGGCCAGGCTGGTCTCAAACTCCTGGCCTCAAGTGATCTGCCCACCTCGGCCTCCCAAAGTACTGGTATAACAGGCATGAGTCACCATGCTGAATGCTTTTTCTTTTCCTTCTCTCTTTCTCTCCCTTCCTTTCTTTCTTTCTCTCTCTCTCTTTCTTTCTTTCTCTCTCTCTTTCTTTCTTTCCTTCCTTCTTTCCTTCTTTCTTTCTCTCTCTCTCTTTCTCTTCCTCTTCCTGTTCCCTTCTTCTTCCTCTGCCTTTCCTCTTTCTCTTCTTTCTCTTGTCTTTCTCTTTTTTCTTCTTTCCCCTTCTCTTTCTCATCTTTCTCATTCTTTTCTTTTCCCCTTTCTCTTCTTTCTATCTCTTTCTCTTTCTTTTGTTCTATTTACTTCTTTGTCACCCAGGCTGGAGTGCAGTGGTGCCATCATAGCTCACTGCAGCTGTGAACTGCTAATTAAAAAAATTTTTTTTATAGAGACTTGCTATGTTGCCCAGGCTAGTCTCCAACTCTTGGCTTCAAGGAATCCTCCCACCTTGGCTTCCCAAAGCTTTAGCATTACAGGCGTGAGCCACTGCTTCCTGCCTGGGCTGTCAATTCCTAAGGTTAAGATTTCAGAATTGCAATGAAAGGTTGTATATATTTGTCAAGTTACCTGTTCAACAAGACAACTTAGACCTGACATGGGTTCATGTTAGAATCTTAGTGTATTCATTATGCTTTCTTTAATTAGGAACTATTTAAAATGGATAACTAAAAAAAGCAAGTAACTGTAAGGAATCATATCAATATCCACTGATCCGGTCTTCAGCTTTATTAAATCCATAATTTGCTACATTTGCTTAAATTTTATTTTCTAATAGAAGTAAAAGTTGAAGTAGAGTTGAAGTCCCTGTGGTCATTCCTGATTCTATTCTCTTCCCTCTTTGCCCATATGTGAGTTTGGTAATTATTCATTTTCCTGTGTGTTTTACAATTTTACATCAAATTTGTGGATCCTTAAATATGTTTTGCAGGCATTTATCTTCTATTTCTATTTAATTCTACAGCTTTTTTGTTATCCATCACTTGGAGATTTACATTTGTAGCTCTGGTTTATTTTAATTACTATTTAGCATTCCATTGAATGCAATGCATTGAATAAATGCATTGCAAATTGTTTCTGTTCTCATGTTGATAGAATTTTTCCAGCTTTGGGCTGTTACAAATATTGTTTGTATTTGAGTGTTTTATGTGTGTGTGTGTACATATCTAGGAATGGAACTGTGAGGCCACAGGTGCAGATCTGAAAAGTAACTCTCTTGCTCAATCGTTCTCTAATTCGAATTGGTGCTCTCAGATATCTTACTTTTGCCAATCTGGATATGAATAACTGGGGCTTTTACATTTAAGGAAAGTCTTATTTTTAGGTAATTGTAGATTCACATACAGTGTAAGAAGTAATACAGAGATGAAGTATACCATTTATTCAGCTTCACCCAATGGTAACATCTTGCAGAAATATAATACAGTATTACATTGGGATATTAATATTGATGCAGCCAAAGGACAGAACGTCTCTGTTGTAATCAGGAAGCCACTTTTAGAGCCACTTCTACTTTCCCCCCGAACCACTCATGCCAAACCTTCTGTCTCCCCATTCCTTAATTTTTGTCAAGCACAGATCTGTTCTCCATTTCTACAATTTTGTCACTTCAAGGGTGTTATATATATGGGCTCAGAGTTTGCAACCTTTTGGAACTGACTTTTTTTTCACTCAGCATAATTCCTTGAAGATTCATCGAAGATGTGTGTATCAACGCTTGATTTTTTTTATTTCTGAGTGGAATTCTATGGCATGATTATACCATGGTTTGTTTAACCATTCACCCACCAAAAGACATCTGGGCTGCCTTCAGTTTCTGATTATTGCAAATAAAGCTATTGTTAACATTTATGTACTTTTTTTTTTTTTTTTGGAGACAGAGTCTAGCTTTGTCACCTAGGCTGGAGTGCAATGGTGCAATCTTGGCTCACTGCAACCTCCACCTCACAGGTTCATGTCATTCTCCTGCCTCAGCCTCCTGAGTAGCTGGGATTACAGGTGCATGCCACCATGCCTAGCTAAATTTTGTATTTTTAATAGAGACAGGGTTTCATCATGTTGGTCAGGCTGGTCTTGAACTCCTGACCTCGTGATCCACCTGCCTCGCCCTCCCAAAGTGCTGGGATTACAGGAGTGAGCCACCTTGCCTGGCCCATTTATGTATATTTTATGTGAACATACATTTGTATTTCCCTGGGATAAATGCCCAAGAGTTTAATTGTTGAGTCATATGGTTGTTGTATGTTTAGTTTTTGAAGAAATTGACAAACTGTTTTCCAGTGTGGTTGATGCATTTCACATTGTCCCAGCAATGTATGAGTGACCCAGTTTCTCGGTGTCCTCACCAGCATTTGGTGTCTTCACTATTATTCATTTTAGCCATTGTGATAGGTGTGTAGTGATATTGTGATTTGAATTTGGATTTCCATAATGGCTGATGGTATTAAACATCTTTTCATACAGTTATTTGCAATGTGTATAGCCCCTTCTGTGAAAGGATTGCAGATTTATATAGGTTTGGTTTCTCTGCTGAGTTTTCAGTATCTCCTGAGAACTCAGGCTCCTTCTAGTATCTTAAGAGCAACTGATAAAATTTTCCTTTAGTGAAGTCTAGAAGAATAGCCAAACTTACTCTTAAAAAAACAAAAACAAAAACTCATGCCTACCCAGTCTCATAATTTCTAGTTTGTTCTAATTCTCTTCCCCTGGGACCTAATTCAAGTAGCAGATTATATCCGAAAATTATTTCCATTTCCAGATTAAAAAAACTTAATGTCCAGATATTTCAAGATAGAAGGGAAAGGATAGCACTGTTTTCACTCAATTTCTATAAAAGCCTGGTTGCTACCTTGAGTTTTCTGGACAAGTCTTTATATATCATGAAACTGTAGGTATAAAAACGGAAACTTGCTTGCTTCTGTAGAAATGAAAGGGCTTGCTTCAAAGAGCTTCAGTTGAACAAGGGAGGCAGAAAATGCTCTACACTTAGTATAAACATTATAATATAGATATAGTCTTGTGATTCTAGTTCTACAATAAGTGACTTTGGAGGGTTAGATGAAATCTTATTTTGTATTGATTTTTTCCCCTATATATAGATTCACTAAAGAATGTATCTGAAGGATGAGTATATGTGTAGATATTTTTAGGGGATGAAGTAATAATACAAAGACCATGTTTTGCAAATTTGTTCACCTCTTAAGACATTTTGTTTTAGTAAGGGATGATCTCTTCATTTGTATTAACAGGGTATGCTAAAATTTTTTTGAGCTGATCTATCTAATTGCATGCTAACAGAAAGTTTCTCTTTTCTGCTTTTCAGCTATTCAAGTACACTGCACCCAGTTTTGGTTCTTTGCCAGGATTAAACCCACGATATTTTACAATTTGTATGTGAACCCCGATGAAGTGTTTCTAGGAGATGGCTGTCCTGTAACCTATGTTTTGCCAAATGTCTACTATGAGTTTTTCTACCATCCTCATGACTGCGGTATTGTAACTCAAGTAAGAGAAATGGCTATCAAAACCCAAGTGTCTTATGGTTCCTTCAATATACAAACCAGAAGTCATTAAGTGTCTATTTGTAATATGGCTAGACTCTTTAATGATCACATTTAGGACAGAAGCAGTTAAGAAAGGAGATGCTAAATGCTTTTTTCTTGTTGGGTGGTAATTGCAAACACTAATTATTCATTTCGTGACGGAGCAGGCTGGAGAGTTGAATGTTTTGAAGGAGGAAAGTATTTTCCATGCATCACAAGGTTTTTCAACAGTTTGTCTAACTAATTATTTGTTATAATTCATGAAGTTTGGTCAATTGCAAACAGAAGGTGGGAGTAACACTAATCAAGCATCAGAAGCCTTTTCAAAGTAAATATTCAGTAATCTCCTAGCCCTAGCCCGTACTCACCAGATATTTTGGGTATACTAAGTCACTATGCATATCACTGATAAAAGTATAACTGGAATTTTGACTTGATTTAAAAAGCATTTAAAGTTAGTAAAATCTTGCTATGATATTCCTTATTTTTTTCATTATCCCAAATAAAATGCTAAGAGAAGTAATAGAACTTGATCAGATTTAGATAAATGCCACAGATTGGGTAACACAGAAAGCAAAAGCAAAATCTGAGGTAGAGTTGAGTGTGTGGAATATTTATTAAGAAGTGCTTTTGGGAGAAAGAAGATTGGGCAAAGGACAAAGCTGAGCTGTGATGCAGCCTCAAAGACAGCTTTGGCTGACCCTACACAGGGCTTCACATTCCTGCTGGGTAGGTGATCAGAAGTGGGCCACCCTGGGAGAGGGGTGTGGCTAGGGGTAAGACAGCTCTCAGCAGCTACACAGTTCCTGGAGGGGGTGAGAGCTGACGGCTGAAGGCTATCTGGCAACAGCATTCCCAACAGCTGGGTCAACAAGCTCTTAGGGGATCTGGGAAGCACATTACAGGTCTAATACACCACGGCATGTATTGGGGGGCACTATCAACCTTGATATAAACTGGGGGGAGCGGGGAATATTCAAATGCTAATAATCTGGGTGGTGGTAGTTTTTATCTATGCTTATATTTTCAAATTATCCAAAGAGAGCAGGATATATCTGAGATAGGAACATTTAAAATTATGTAATGGATATGGGTATCTCTGAATCATCGTATCCTCCTATGCTGTCAAAGACTGGGCCTTATATTGAGAACCATATGCTAAATGTCCTTAGAAAAATATTTTACTATTAATTGTCTTAACTCCATTCCACCCCATCCCCCTGAAAACAGCTCTTCTTCTTGTTAGGTATTTACTATATGCTGATAATTTAATCACTATTATTCTTTACCACCATAATTATTGCTTTTTTATAGAAATAAGAAAACAGACTTAATTGTTTAAACACGGTTTTCAAGGATTCATGACGAATAGAGGCAGCTCCAAGATTCCAAATGTGATTCATATGATCTCAAAACCCATGCTCTCTTTGAATAAGCAATGTATCACTACAATTGTGTGTCTCAAAAAGAGGTGTCAATTGCTTTCTTGAATGTGAATCACAAAACTCCTTTCTCTTTTAAATAACAAGTATTGCTTGCCTTTTATGTACAAGCACTGTGCCAGATTTTAACCCATCTGTCAGTTTGGGAAATGGTCCTGTTTCCTGTGAACAGATGCTGTTTATAGTTTAGTGAGAGTGTGACCATTTTTAGAAAGCTTGATGTATCTATAAATTCCTATTTAAATGCCTGTAAGTTTCCTGAGATACTTGAGACAAATATGGGTTTAAAACCTCTCTTTGTCTTGTAGCCTCTCAGGGGAGTTCTTCTGCTTAAAACAAAAATTAAGTATATCTCAAGAGACTCTGCTGTCCGAGCTGAAATGCCTCTGTCGTGTGTGGTCCGCAAGTGAGTACGGAGTACCAGACCCCTGTCCTAGCCCCGGCGTCATTAGCTGTCCCGATAAAAATTCCAAACCTGAAAGATTAAATGGTACAACCAGCGAGGGGAGTGGAGGAGACACCAAAGTCTAATGGGAACACAAATCTCTTGATCCTTGGTGTCTTAGTCCTCTGTTGCTTTGCTATAAAGAAATGCCAGAGACTGGGTAATTTATAAGAAAAGAAGTTTAATTGGCTCATTGTTCTGCAGGCTGTACAGGAAGCATGACTGGGGAGGCCTCAGTTTTTATTCATGGCATAAGGCAACAGAAAGCAAAGCTGGAGCGGGCATACTCACAGGGCTGGAGCAGGTGGAAGTGGTTGGGGGAGGTGCTACACACTTTTAAAAAACCACATCTCCCGAGAACTCTATCGTGAGACCAGCACCAAAGGGATGGTGCTAAACTAGGGGTCCCTAACCCCTGAGCCATGGAGATGTAGTGGTCCCTGGCCTGTTAGGAACCTGGCCGCACAGAAGGAGTGAGCGGCAAGCCAGCATTACCACCTGAGCTGTACCTCCTGTCAGATTAGCGGTGGCATTGGATTCTCATAGGAGCACGAACCCTGTTGTAAACTGCGCATGCGAGGGATCTAGGTTGCGCACTCCTTGTGAAAATCTAATGCCTGGTGATCTGAGGTGGAATAGTTGCATCCCCAAATCATCATCCCCTATCCGTGGAAAAATTGTCTTCCGCAAAATTGACCCGGTTGCCAAAACGTTTGGGGACTGCTGTGCTAAACTGTTCATGAAGGGTCCACCCCCATGACCCCATCACCTTCCACCAGGTTCCACCTCCAATATTGGGGATTACAATGAACATGAGATTTGAGTGGGGATGCAGATTCCAAACCATATCATTTGGCCCTGTATTCTTCAAAAATGGTCACAACTGTCCCCTAGAACATAGGAATACTGGGAATATTATTGAAAAATGAAATGATGACTTATTTTTTGATATAAGCATCAGGGTCACTGAAAACCTGATAGGTTTTCGTCAACCAATATTTAAACTTGAGCCCATCTGCAAGTTTCCTGAAGGCAATAAGAGAAAGTATAATAAAGTCTAAAAGATACTGAACTCATCAGGGTATCAAGATCAGCACGTACTATGCAGGGCTGACAGTGTTGGGAGAGAGATACCTTAAAACAGGATTTGTGGGTTAAGATTGGGTCTTTTTTTTTTTATTGACATCTTGAGAAAGTCTAAGTGCCTATTTCCTATTATATGCCTGTATCAAAATATCTCATGTACCATATATATATACATATCTACTATGTACCCACAAAAACTGAGAATTAAAAAAAATTTAGAACATTAACAACCAATTTGATTAGGTCTTAGCACAAGTGTGATATATTTGGCAGGACTTTGGGCAATGTTTCCATGAGGTTTTTCTGGTTAAAATCCTGAACTGAATTTTTTTTTTTTTTCCCTGAGTAGTTACAGAAAAGTCACATTACACAGAACTCTTCCCACAGATAATTATAGTAGCAGGTAACATTTATGAATTGCTTACCTTATGCCTGCACTGTGCTTGTAGGAATGTATTTGTTCTTCCTGCTGACTCAATGAGGTAGATACTATTCTTTTATTTTTTTATTTTTAAGTGGTTGAGGCTCCTTATTTTGCTCAGGCTGATCTTGAGCTTCTGGGTTCAAGGAAGTCTCCCTCCTCAGCCTCCCATGTAGCTGGGACTATGGGTACCCAGCTGTGGTGGTAGATACTATCATGCCAAATTCAGGGTGAGAAAATTGAAACACAGAAAAATTAGGTTACTTGGTCGACATCATTTGCTGGTAGATGGTGGAATCAAGAAGTGAACCCAGAAGTCTGTTTTTTAAGTCTTTGCTTCTTAGCACCACAAATACTGCCTGTGATGTTCTGGGGTGGGGTGTGTTGGTGGGTGGTGGCGGGAAGCAGAAATCAATATATCTACCAATAATAGTAATTTGGCCCCAAGTTCAGCCTTGTAAATGCTAGGATCTGAGTAGATCTTAACCACTATGATATTTTTCTATCTTCTCTTATTTTAGTCAGCATCCTCTTTTAAATGTAGTTGAAACGAGAGATGGGGAAACTGGCAATGAATGGGAGATAGAGGTGAAGATACAGATTGCGAATGAAGACACAGCAGTAACTTCTGCAACACAATCTTGGTAAGAACCCTCAACACTGGCATCTTATGATTTTTGTCCAGGTGTGTCGTAGATAGCAGTCAATACAATTGTCAAGAAAATGGCACACATTTGTCTTAAGGTGCATTGTGCCTAAAATGTTTCTGGTTTAAGAATGCAAGTTCATGCTTTCCTATGTTTGTTGAAGATTTTATTGATCATGGTGGTCTTGATAACCTGTTACTAACTGGGAACCCCATATAACTAAGAGCTATCCATTTTGGGCAGTATGTGAAATACTATAATTAACTAAAAAGAAAAAAGCTATCAATTTCAATATCAATAAAGTTCTGAATTGTAATAAATGAGTATTAACACTGAGCCTACAAAGTGGCTTAGATATGTTGATGATCCCTGGGAAAGTGAACTCAGAAGTGTCATAAGTCTGTGTTGCAACTCTTTCCAGAAGGTACCAAATGACTGTAAGGTAGTACAGTTTTTCATTCTTGAGCCCCATATGAAGGCATATTATGAAAAATCCACACATATTAATATATGGCTATTAATAAAAGGATGGAGTTGTGTTTAATAGAGAGTAAACAGGATACCTAGAACATTTGGGATGTACTTCATAGCTTAGAGGGCAAAAGTATCCTTTTTCACTTATTACGTTTTTTTTTTTTTTTGACGGAGTCTCGCTCTGTCGCCCAGGCTGGAGTGCAGTGGCGTTATCTCAGCTCACTGCAAGCTCCGCCTCCTGGGTTCACTCCATTCTCCTGTCTCAGCCTCCCGAGTAGCTGGGACTACAGGTGCCCGCCACGATGCCTGGCTAATGTTTTGCATTTTTTTAGTAGAGACGGGGTTTCACCGTGTTAGCTAGGATGGTCTCGATCTCCTGACCTCGTGATCCGCCCGCCTTGGCCTCCCAAAGTGCTGGGATTACAGGCGTGAGCCACCGCACCCGGCCTTCCTTATTCGCTTATACATACATTGCACTTGAATCATTAAACACTTAAGGATTACAGTCTCAAGGATAGAACATAAACTTTCTTTCTTCTTCCTTACCTTCTACTTACACCTTCTCCTTCACTCCCATACATATACATTGCTTTACTTATGAATAACAGGCTCTTAGAAGTAGCAAAGTAATGTTTACATTGGGACATATATTTTATTGTCTTTCTTCCATTTCAGTAAGAATCTGACTGCTACACTCCCTTGTTCATCAAATGAGTACCTTTATTGCAAGAGAAGAAACTGTGCTGTCCACTTTGATACTGAAAGGCAATTTGGAATCTCTGCCATGATTGCTTAGGACTGAGGATTTAATGTGCTATTTTGTGAAAATCTGAGAAGCAGGAAGGGGATTTAATGATCTCAACCGTTATCCATCTGAAAAACCTAACTTGTGATTTTAAATAAAATGCAGGCTGCCTTCCACTATTCCCCTTTTAAAATAGGAACTGCCACTGCTTTTAACTTTATGAAGTTTTATTTATGAATAAAGTTTGTACTACTATATATCTGTTTCTAGTTATTGCAAGACTGACTTTTATGTAATTTTAAGCTTCAATGCTCATTAGAAATAGGTTTTTAAGGGTACAGTTACTAACTCTTCTCAGTTGCTGATTCATGCCCTTAGCTAAGGCTTAGTTGTGGTTGGTCCTGGTAACAGGGCCTAATCATTCATTTATTCCACAAAGAATCCCTCATGGAGTTCACACTTTAGTAGGAGGAGGCAGAGTATACAAAAAAACATACTCTATAGTATTTTAAGAAAGAGTAAATGCACCTTAGGGCACAGAGGCAGAGAAAGAAGATAGGGAATTCTTGGGTGAGGGTTGTGGTCCTTAATACGGCATCAGGGAAGACATCCCTCGAAGGTAATAATTGAGGAAAGAACTGGAGGAAGTGAGGAATGAGCCTGGCAGATCCTGGAGGGAAGGCTGTTCAAGACTATGGAAACAGTTGATGTAAAGTCACTGAGTGTTTGCAGAACAAGGCCAGCATGATTGGAGAGGTAAAGTCATACAGATGAGGTCTTAAAACAACAACCGAAACACCTAAAACAATGAGTGGAGTACCTCATTTAATTTCTCAAAGTTGATTGACACACCTGGCTTTTGTTTGAAATAAAATGGGAACCCCCTGGAAAGCTCCAAATGGAGGAGTGATGTGATCTGACTTGGATTTTTATTATCAGGATCACCCTGGCTGCTGGATGGAAAACAGACACCAAGAGGAAGCAGGGACTGAAGTAGGGAGAGGGATTAGGTAGTGATGACTACAAGGTCAGTGGTCTTCAGCCAGGGCCAATTTTACCCTCTGGGGGATGTATCTGGAAGGAACTTTGTTCGTTACAGTGATGGTGTTAGTGTGTTACTGGCATCTGTATAGACCCAGGGATGCTGCTGAACATCCACAGTGCCTAAGACAGCCACTGATGACAAAGAGTTATCCGGGCCCAGAGTCAATAGTACTGAGGATGAGAACCCTGGTTTAGATGTAGCATGGATTTCATAGGAAGAGGTCGGGTAAATTGATCTAAGGATTTGCAGACAGCTAGATATGAAGTATGTTAGAGGAATCTGGAGAGTTTAGGATTTATGAGCTACTATAAAGTAGGAGATGCTACTGTCTTGGATAAAAATGTGGAAGATGTTGGTTTGGAAACCTTATTTTGAAAATGTCATGTTTAAGATGCTGCTTAGATCTCCAAGAGGAGAGAGCAAGTGAGTAGTTGAATATACAGGTCTGCAGTTCAGAGGGAGAAGGTCCAGACTGGATGTAGAACATTAGGATTCATCAGCACATACTAATACTTAAAGCCAGTAAGATTGCATGAGTTCAAAGCAAAGAAGTGAGGAAAATGAAGATAATCAGTCCAAGGTTTAGGTCTTGGGATATCCACTGTTAAGAGGTTGCTGAGAGAAGGCAGAACCTTTGAATGAGCCAAGGAGAAGGTCAATTGGAAGTAAAACCAGGGCAGAGTGGGGTCCAGGGAGCCATGCAGGCGGAGCTGTCAACTGTATTATCTGTTGCTGAAAAGTTAAGTGGGATGAGAATTAAGGGTTCTTAATTCTTAAGCTACCATCTAACACTAGTCAGAATGGCTACTATTAAAGAGTCAAAAAATAACAAATGCTGGTGAGGCTGTAGAGAGAAAAGAATGCTTGAACACTGTGGGTGTGTAAATTAGTTCAGCCATTGTGGAAGATGGTGTGGAGATTCCCCAAAGACCTAAAGACAGTGATACCATTTGATCCAGCAATCCCATTACTAGGTATATACCCAAAGGAATATAAATGATTCTGTTATAAAGACATGCATGTATATGTTCATTGCAGCACTATTCACAATAGCAAAGACATGGATTCAGCCTAAATGTCCATCAGTGATAGATTGGATAAAGAAAATGTGGTACACATACACCATGAAATACCATGCAGTCATAAAAAAGAACAAGATCATGTCCTTTGCACGGACATGGATGGAGCTGGAGGCCATTATCCTCAGCAAACTAATGCAGAAACAAAAACCAAATACCACATGTTCTCACTTATAAGTGGGAGCTAAATGATGAAAACAACTAACACGTACAGGGAAACGACACACACTGGGGCCTTTTGGAGGGTGGAGGGAGGGAAGAGGAAGAAGGTCAGGAAAAATAACCAATGGGTACTAGGCTTAATGCTTGGGTGATGAAATAATCAGAACAACAAACCTCTATGACACAAGTTTACCTATGTAACAAACCTGCACTTGTACCCCTGAACTTAAAAATACACAAAAGGCCTGGTGCAGTGGCTCACACCTGTAATCCCAGCACTTTGGGAGGTTGAGGTGGGCGGATCACCTGAGATCAGAAGTTCGAGACCAGCCTGGCCAACATGGTGAAACCGCATCTCTACAAAAAATACAAAAATTAGCCAGGCATGGTGGCCCTTGCCTGTAGTGCCAGCTATTTGGGAGGCTGAGGCAGGAGAATCACTCGAACTCAGGAGGTGGAGGTTGCAGTGAGTCGAGATCACGACACTGCACTCCAGCCTGGATGATAGCGTAAGACTCCATCTCAAAAAAATAATAAAAAAAAAATACACAAAACAAAACAAAGAAGAAATGTAAAATAACACAGCCGCTGTGGGGAGCTTGGCAGTTTCACTCCTAGGCTGTCATGTAAGGACTAATAAATAGTAAGGCCTGGTATCACATGCTATCTCCGCATCTGGTGAAACTGGAAGGGCTATAATGGCCTAACTGCACATTTCTCTCTCTCCTCTGCTCCTGCAGATAAGGTCCCCGCTACACAGCTCTGCTTATCAAGGAGACCAGATACAGTTCCTGCTTATCTCTGAACAGTGGGTTTCAGTTCCCTGGCAGTCTGCAGAATTATTCAAACAAACCAATCATACGCTCCTGTGGGATCTAGAGGTCACCTCACCCTCTTGATATTACAAAGCTTATGTTCCAGAGCCCCTGGTTGTTCCCTGTGCTCCTAAGTGCAGCCCTCATGTGGACCTATGTGCTATGTGGTGTTCTCCTTTGCAAGGCTGTGAATGTACACACCAGTGAATTGCTTTCGAGCACATCTGCTCAGTGGCAGGTGTGTGTTTGGCTATCACCATAGCCCTAGGATAGGAATCTCTCCCTCAGCAAGGGGGTGAATAGGAGGCAATGAAAGCTGAGTCAAATGCCCCAAATAATTGAAAATAGGAATTCAAACAAATGTTGAACAACAGCTTTCAGAGTAGCACTATTTGCAAAGATGGAATCAACCCTAAAGTTCATCAGTGGTTGAATGACTCAAGAAAATGTGCTAGAGCCGGGCGCGGTGGCTCACGCCTGCAATCCCAGCACTTTGGGAGGCCAAGGCAGGTGGATCACGAGGTCAGGAGATCGAGACCATCCTGGCTAACACAGTAAAACCCAGTCTCTACTAAAAAAATACAAAAAATTAGCCAGGTGTGGTGGCGGGTGCCTGTAGTCCCAGCTACTTGGGAGGCTGAGGCAGGAGAATGGTGTGAACCCGGGAGGTGGAGCTTGGAGCTTGCAGTGAGCCAAGATCACACCACTGCCCTCCAGTCTGGGCGACAGAGCGAGACTTCGTCTCAAAAAAAAAAAAAAAGAAAATGTGCTATACCCACAAAACAGAATACTATACAGCCATAAAAAGGAATGAAGTATGGATTCATGGTACCATGTGAACTAAAAATAAAGTTCTAGGCCTTCAACTGATTTAATGAACCCCCATCTTGGCCAAGAGGACCCCAGAGAAACCTTAAGAACTGTGTTTCCAGCCATCCTGGGGTGGGGGGTTGGACATGCCTTGTTACACGACTTCCCTTCTGTGGTTTAGACACAACACCTGACTAGCATTAATATTAAAAAAAGAGATCAGGCTGGGCGTGGTGGCTCATGTCTATAATCTCGGCATGTGGGGAGGCTGAGGCAGGCAGATTGCCTGAGGTCAGGAGTTCGAGACCAGTCTGGCCAACATGGTAAAACCCCATCTTTACTAAAAATACAAAAAAAATTAGCTGGGCGTGGTAGCGTGTGCCTATAATCCCAGCTACTCAGGAGGTTGAAGCAGGGGAATTACTTGAACCAGGGAGGTGGAGGTTGCAGTGAGCCGAGATTGCGCCACTGCACTCCAGCCTGGGCAACAGAGTGAGACTCTGTCTCAAAAAAAGATCATAAGGCTGACACAACGAACTCTTTGTGGCAATAGCCATACAAAACTATAAACAGGACCCACGGCCATGCCAAGTAATGGTTAAGTCATGCACCCCTACACTCAAAGAATAAACTTTGTTCTAACTGCCACAAGGTTTTTCTTTTTCAGCAGCTAAACAAGCGCTGGCCTTGAGATAAGCAATGTTAACAATGACAGCTCATTCACTGCCAGAGGCTGACCTTCCTGCGCTACAAGCCATCACTACAGCTTTGATTGGACAAGGGACTCATCTCAGCAACTCTCTCCTGATAAGAGACGACTGAGCAAGAACTGGTTCTGGCCAGTTTACAGAGGTTGCACACTTGTATAACTTTGTGTCTTGGAAAGACCTTTAGATGTAGAAGGCCTAATTGTGATACATTTAAATGTTAAGTCTCCACCCCAAAGTGAACATGGGTCATATATAACATGCATGCTTATTCAGCACTTACGTGTTAGAACCGCCCTAGAGAATATTCATAGGTCCTCCTATAACCTGTTGAATACATATGCTTGGCCAACCCATTCAGCATAAATTCCCATCTCACTCCTCCCTCCCTGCAATGTGCCTTTCAGACTGTGTTGGAGACTGTGCATCCCAGCCTGTTAGGATGGCCGTCTTGCAGTCTGTAACCCTTTATAAGATATAAAGCCTCTTTTATTTGTAAACAAATAAATAGCATGATTTTTAAAGTTAAGAGTGTAATTCAATTTTTACAAAGTGTCCAGAATAGGTAAATCCGAAGAGATAGAAAGTAGCTTGGTGCTTGCCAGGGGCTGGGAGAAAGGAGGAGTGTGGAGTTGCTTAAGAGGTATAAGTTTTCCTTTGGGAGATGATGAAAATATTTGGGAACTGTAGGGGTGATGGTTTCACACATGTGCATGTACCAAGTCCACTGAATTATATACTTCAAAATTGTTAATTTTATATGAATTTAACACTTATAAAAATTAGCGGTTATTTTAACAGAGGAGGAAAGCATGTAAGCTATTGGAATCAGAAATTCCAGTATTATTTTATGTACTTCTATGTAGCTAGCTATTTAAAATAACAATATGTTTATTCACATCTTAAATAAGAAAACAGATAAGTATTTTCAAATAAAAACCACTGAAATATTCTTCATAAATTCAATCTACTGTAAAGCTCTCCTTCCCAAATATAATTTAAGTGATAGATACCTTAACATAAAATCCTACTAATTTTAAAGAACATGCAATATAATAAAAACGTTTAGTAGAAAGGATTTTGAGGTTTCTGATGTTCACAGATGTTACTTTTTGCTTGCTCTTTGTTACATCAGTTCATAATCCTGGAGATTCATATAGCTAGAAACAACTATTTTGTACTTAGAAGCTAAGGCAATCTATGTGATACGCTACACAATTTCTAAAAATAATTTATTAGGCTTTTACTTTTACTTTTTGAGAGGAAGTTTTTTGGAGGTTGATTTCTGCCAAAATGTAGAACCGAGTGATGCTGTTATTATCTATTATCCCATATCTTACAATTTTTCATTACTAGATTTAATTGTCCAAAAATGCCCTTAGAGAATATTTCTAGATATGTGCATGTTCATAATAAAATGCTTGTAGGGAAAGCAAAATTAAACCAGAAACCACTGTTTTGCCAAAGCTTAGACCACAGGTGTGTGGGTTTATTTACCTGAATCAAAACCTCCTGAAGCTGATTACAAGCACCGATTAGTGAGCGCATCTTAGCCCAGGTTTACTGGATCTGAATCATTGGTTGGGAGCTAGAGCAATAGCTTTTTTTTTTTTTCTTTTTTCACAAGAACCCAGAGTGAATATAATATGCAATATTGCAATATTGTTAATCAATTCATAAGTAATTCTTCTGTATCACCACCTGAATTTCTCAAATCATCTTGCAAAGCCCTACTTTTAACAGTTCAATAGACACATATCAAATATTATGTCAGACACAATTTCCGACACATCCACATGCTTGGGAAAAAAGACATGGTGGTAGGGGATGCAGCCTAGAACCACTTTCCACATGTTCCTTCCTGATTTTCTGATTTATCTTTCAATGGCAAAAACTGCACTTACTTTTGCACCAACCGAACTTCAGCTGTGAGGACGAAAAGCCAAAACTATGCTAAGGGGTTCTCAGTGCTTTCCAGAATGATAAACCATCACCCACAGCTGAGGAGGTAAGAGGTTTATAAACACCTGTGGAGGCCCACTTCCCTAGGTTTTCTGTTTCCTGTGATACCTTGGGCTGGAATCTGAAGCAATGAAGATCTTTTGTGTGTTGGGAGAGCTCCTCATGCTTTTCGAGTTGATTCATGGTCTCCAAGATTGTAAGAAAAAGCGGGAATTTTTGGAGGTGGCGATTTCTAACAGCAGGGCCTTTTTTTCTTTTTTTTTAAAAACATATTGTTGACTTCGGGAGTTTGTTTTTTATAACCTGGTGATCAGTTGCTAATAGCTAATGATTGCAAAGTTACAGCCACACATAGTTTTATCTTTACCCCTGTACTTCCTCTTGAATTTTTCCTCTAAGTTGATCTCAAGGTGCCGTTTTTATTTTTCTTACATGCAAAATATTTCCAGGTTCTTTCTCTGCTGGAGACTAGCTTGTTACTTTGCTGAATGTGAAATACTTACAGTGACTGGCAAAATCAGGAGAGACTGCCCAGTGCCTAGGAGAGGAGGTTACTAGGTCTACATTTCTGGCCATGGGGTATGAAGTTTGGACAGAGAGTAGTCAGCTGTATTCAATTGTTTATGATTCCTTTTCAGAGTTGAGGCTCTGAATAGATTTTGCATAGGTTTTAATCCTGATCTGCCATTTAAAAGCTATGTGACCTTAAATTTATCCATGTGTAAATATGGGATAATGATAAAATTGACTCCATAGAAATGTACTGAAAATGAAGTAAGACCCCAAACCAAAATTTAACATAGTTGGCAATCATAAAAAAATTATTGTAGTAACTGCAATATTATTTTGTTTCTGAATCCTGAGTTTCACATACCAATTAATATTTATTGGCTCAGATATTTTGATCAAAATAAAATTTTAAGTGGAAGCACATGATCTATTTTTCCATTGTGTGCAACCAAATATCAGAACTTTTTCTTGTGTCTCCATTTCAGATATCACTTACACCTAGATATATTTCAAAAATGTATTCATGAGACCTGTTGGTAAAATTTGAACAATCCCTAAAAGCAAAGTGAGTATGTTGGGATATTTGACTTATTTAACTTAGAAATTCTCAAGAAGTGCTTCTACGGTTTTTCCACATTCTGATGAAAAAAAAACTGAGACACACAGAGATTAATTGGCCCAAGATCTCCCAGTGGAAAAATATACAAATAGAAACAAAACATTTTCACTCTACAGTTGGGAATTCAGCTCAAAAGGTTGAACATTTCCTGAGCACTTTGTGTGGGGGCAGACATACTATCTGATGTTTTCCCTTTTCAAATTTTCTTTCAACAGTGTCTATAACCTGTTCTGAAACCTGGCTCCAGGTCAAACTTAGACGAACGCCACTGTTAAATGACCTGCAACCTCTGCAAAACGAACTCTCTCTAGGAATTGGCTGTCCTGTAAACATGGTCGAGGTGGATTTCTTTGGGTTCCTGTATCTTCTAACTTTTTGTGGCATCAGAGTGAGTGTAAGAGCAGTTATTATTTCAACCAATAATATATCTTTTGACTGTTTTGGGTCCACAAACCAATGACTAAAACTACAGTATTCAAATTTTAATTGTCAGTTAATAGTTCATGTAATATTGACCATTCTCTTTAACATTTTTGGATATTGCTTCTATCTGTCGGAAAGACAAATAGGATTTGGGATCCCAAAAACTGTGCATTCCTACTTTAAAAACCTTTTTTTTTTTGGCAACGTATCTCTTTTGCCTGTGATAGTGGTTTTTTGTTTTTTAAAATACTCTGTGTTAAATCTAGTTTGAGAGAAACATTTTGTTTTGAAACAGTGTCACAAATACCCAACTCTTGTTGTTGACCTAAAATTTTGATGAAAATGGAGTGTATCAGTTTATATAGTTCCTGTATTAATAAGATAAACCAATCTTTCCTGTCACCAGAAAGCTGTTTTTTTTTTTTTTTCCTTCATGTTAAATTGTTGCTGTGTTTTGTAATTATAGCCTGGTTTTTCCTTTTTGGAGTCACATCTGTTTCTAGTAAAGATTAGGTGAACTGATCCTATTTTTGGGTCTAAGTGCATGACTTTATCGTTTGTTTGCTGCTGTATCTCTAGTATAAAAAAAAAAGTCTAGCATTTGGCAAGTACTCAATTTAGCATGAGGCTGACTCAGCTGCTTTTCTAAAGTTGTCAAATATCTAGCCAAAATTCACACTGAATAATTTAGGTCTGCCTGAATCAGACCCTGACTCTTTTTTTTTTTTTTGAGATGGAGCCTTGCTCTGTCGCCAGGCTGGAGTGCAGTGGCACAATCTCGGCTCACTGCAACCCCCACCTTCCGCGTTCAAGCAATTCTCCTGCCTCAGCCTCCCGAGTAGCTAGGACTACAGGCGCGTACCACCATGCCCAGCTAATTTTTGTATTTTTAGTAGAGATGGGGGTTTCACCTTGTTGGCCAGGATGGTCTCAATCTCTTGACTGAGTGATCTGCCCACCTCTGCCTCCTAGAGCGTTGGGATTACAGGCGTGAGCCAACGCGCCTGACCCAGACCCTGACTCTTAAACAAATGTGGTGATCAAAAGTTGTCTATGCAGACTCAACTGCTGAATACAATGTCCCCTGCTACTATGGCAGGATCTATTAATGTCTGCTAAAACCAGGGATTTTTATCACTTAGCTCTGCTTTTCTGTTGTAAACCTTGCACTCATACCTACTTTATGTCATAAAGTAAAAATAAAAGTAAAAATTATTATTTTGTTTTTAATCTATATTTTAAAAATGGAATTTGAAAGCATTTGAAAGAAATATAATTAAGATAACTTATATCCTTTACACCTTTAGGAACATGGAGTAGGTATGCTCATTGAAAGTTTAATTGTATATGAGCCACCGAATTTTGACTTCAATTTACACATCCCAGTATCATGCTATGTGCAAAGGTAAGTGCAGTGCACTACTGAGATCAAGGCTATCTAACATTATCTTTGGCTTCTAGGTGTTTTGATCAGTTAAACTGCCGAACATTATGCTAAGGTTGGACATTGGATCAAATTTGATCTGTGGTGTTCTGTTTGGTCATGTGAGTAGGTCTAAAAAAATTGATTCTCTCAATGTAGTTTCTGAACGAGTAGATGAGGCTCAGTTGCTATATGAGAATTAAATTCTACAGTCACTAAAGAGATCATATCAGAAAGTTTTTGTTAGTAATCTTTCCTTTTTTGCGGTGTTCCTTGTCTGCACCTACCCATACTGCCTCATTCATGTCTATTATAGGTGCTTTTAAGTTTTTGTACAAACCATACCACCTTTCTGCAGATATGAGGAGGAACCAAGAGATTCAAAATCAGTATTTTCTCAGTTTTAAAACTAGAATCGAGTTAGTCTCTGATTTGTTAGTTTCTGCAATATAAATAAAAATCAAGACTTGCTAATGACCGCAATTCTCTCCTTATTGGAGAAACTTTTCTTCAATGAGAGAATAAAGCAGGAGAGCCTGTTGATGAAGGTTGAGGCAATTCTGCTTGTGATCAGATCCCTGGGTGAGCTGTTCACAAGGCCCAATTGCACGTGTGTTCTCTCTGCCCCTAGAGTGTTCATTCCAACCTATTTTGAACAGTCTGGCCTCTGGAGACACAGAATTTAATGGCTATATTTATCTTACAACCACTGACTTCAACTGTACTGTGAAATATTTGCTTTTCTTCATTAACAGCATCTTTGGTCCTTCTCATAAATAAAAATCAAGTCAGGTCCCTATCTCCAGTATTATATCAAATTTAGGTTTCCTTTAAGACTCCTAGAGTTTTACAGAGCACACAAAGGATTTGGGGAAGAGGGTTTAGTATAATCTGAGTAGTACATTTCCCTCTGCTGCTTTTCTCTTCGTGTTTTGCTGGGTATGACAGGATGAAAGAGGTTGGGTCACAATTATCTCATGGTTATATGGTGCAATTGTGGTCCATTTCCAGCAATGCTGGCTAGATAATCACACCTTCACCCAGAAGTGTGTCTCAAATTACGGATATGTGAGTTTTTTGGAGTCCTTAGAAAGGGGGTGGCCATCACAACTGCATATTTCCTGATAGACCAATCTAAACAAGGCTTCCTTCTTAGTCCATACAATTGCCACCGTAGGCCTCCACACAACCTGCTCATTTTCTGTCTTGTTTGGTTTTTATTCCAGTATCTTGACTTCTTGAGGTCTCCTCCCCACTTCACAGGTATTCTTGAGAGAAATCCTGGAAATACAGCTAAAACATTGGTACCTGTGAGAGAAATTACTTAGTCATACTATAATTCATGGTGGGAGAATATGACCTTTCTGCCCCCTTTTCTACACTCCATGTCTCTCATATGTCATTCTACTGCATAGGCAGATACTTGGGAGTAAAATGTCAGCCTCTTGCTGTAGGAAACTCAGTGTTGGAGAAGCTGATAGAAACACCTTTATTTGGCTTCATTAAGGGAGGGAGAACTTTAGTGACCCTACTTACACCTCTGTCATAGGCCAATAACTCGGAGCTGCATGCCTCTAATTACTCTCTGTAGATGTCCGTTGAGATGATTAGAGATAAGAACTGCTTCAGCCACTTATTAAGAGTTCTTGATATTTGACATCCTATGAAATTAGCTTCAGGTCCCAATAGTACATTCTGGAATAATGAAAAGTTGTATTCAACCATCTGTGAATTTTTTCTCATATTCTATGAAACAATAAATTTTCATATTTGTCTAAGGTAGCTGATTTAGCATCCTCTCACAGCTGGAAGAGATCTGTTTAATTTAGTTTTCTCCACATTTCAACTTTTTCTCCACCTCCAAAAGCATAATAGATACAAAGCTTAAATCTATTTTTTTCTCTTTTTTAGAAGGTTTCCAATAATCTTAGTGATGAGAAGGGGAGAGAATGACAACCGTCGTGAATGCAGAAGGTCAGTGGGACAGCACTGCTCACTATCACGCAAACTTGAAGACTTGGGAATCCGTCCAAGAGTATCCTATGTGTAAGAGTATTTTGAATTAGTACCATAAATGCTTACAGTACGTTTATATATAAAAAAGGCCAGAGTTTAGTAAGGTGGTGTCATACGCCACACTTTGTGTACTATTGCCCCTATGATTTTAGTTCAGGATCATTGGAATACTGCATTTTTTATGTCTATTAGGGATATATTTTATCTTGGCATTTCTCATTATTTCCTTATGTAAAACAGATTTGCAATTGTAACCTCAATAGTTCTGTTATGTTAACTTTCTTGAGCTAGAGATAAACCATCTTTGGTGCATGTAATATAAGTGTGCAATGGGATCATAGATTCCCATAAAGATAGTAATTGATATCTATGTTAAATCTAATTCCAGCTTTTTGTTCTAAAAGAACTAAATGTCAGCAAGAGAAAACTCAAATGAGCCATAACAATATTCAAATAGGGTATAATCTTTAGACTTTATTATGCTAGAAGGACAGGCCCTTATTCCACGTATCAGCCGACCCTCATAATTCTAAACTTGATATGGTGTCCTCATGTAAAATTTATAATCATTTACTAAGCATTTGTTAACTAATAGCTATATATACACATAACATGTATGTGTGTATACATGTGTATATATCGTATTTGTGATACTTGAATCATTAGAATATTATAATGGTTCCTGGGGTTTAAAATTGATGCCTTTTTCCCAGGTTCCCATTTGGTTGAGCCTCAGTGGTTCCTTAGTTAGATAGTAGTTTCCCATCAGTACAACAACGTAACTGTTTCTTTTCCTTCCTTACAGGAACAGTGTTCCCTTGTTGAGCTACTTAATTGTATCCCTTCCTAAGTGTAAGAACAAAGCTATACATTCTGGATGATGAGGCCACCCTATTCATTCACCTGGTGCTCTGGCCGCTTAAGGATTTCATTGCCTTTTAGAAGTTGAACTAGTCACTGGATATTGTCTTTTATCATTTCAAATGTGATATTTTTAAACGAAAAACTTGCTCTGTTGTCCATATTTATGAATTGTTGGGGTAGGGAGAAAAGCCTTCCTTTCCCAGATTTTAAACTTGTAATAAATAAACTTTATTCTTAAATAAAGTTTTATAATTCTTAATAGTTATTTATATTTTTTAAAGCCTAAGTCCTGATCCACAGAGCATTATAAAGTGTGAGGCAATTGCATACTGTGACTAGGCTTACCCATCATCTGTTTTGGGTAGCAATAGAGTATCTAATACACAGTAGTCTTTCCTTATTCAGTTTTGCTTCCCATGGTTTCAGTTACTCGCTGTCAACTGTGGTCTCAAAATACTAACATAGTCTTAATATTTTCGTGGAAATTTATAATTCCATTTCATACTTGTTACATACTCCAAAGAGAGACACATTCACATAACTCTTGTTGTAGCATATTATATGTTAATCTTTTACTGTGGCTAATTAAACTTTATCATAGACATGTATAAGAAAAAGTACAGTGTTTATACAGGGTTTGGTACTAACCACAATTTCAGTAATCCCCTGGGGGTCTTGGAATGCATCCCCTATGGATAAAGGGAACTATTGTATCATAATCTAATTCTCTAGTTGTTCCCCATTTCACTGGCTTCTAATGATATGTATAAAATAAGGTGAAATCAGAATTTTTTTTTTTTTTTTGACAGAGTCTTGCTGTGTCACCCAGGCTGGAGTGCAGTGGTATGATCTTGGTTCACTGCAAGCTCCGCTTCCCGGGTTCACACCATTCTCCTGCCTCAGCTTTGCTAGTAACTGGGACTATAGGCGCCCACCACCACGCCAGGCTAATTTTTTGTATTTTTAGTAGAGATGGGGTTTCACCACGTTAGCCAGGATGGTCTTGATCTCCTGACCTCGTGATCCAGCTACCTTGGCCTCCCAAAGTGCTGGGATTACAGGTGTGAGCCACCATGCCCGGCCTAGAATTTTCTTTATAAATGGTTCAGAAAATAGCCTATTTCAATCTCTACTTTTCTGTATTTTTTACCCTCTGTATCACTTTCCTTTTCTGTGTGTTAGCAATTTCAAATTAGTTCGGGGATTTAGGTTCATCCATCTGGTCATATAAAGAGGCTAGAATTGAGAGGAAATAAAATTCCAGTTGGTTTCTGCGTTATGATTGCTTCAAACCAAAAGTGAATTTTCCTTGTCCAAATATCTCTAAAGGCAAATGGCAGTATTTGAAAAGAGGGTAAAAATCTTCTGCTTTTAGGGATTCTCTTGAAACTCTTCACTCCTAATCTCTGGATTATGGATCAGTTGACAAAAGTAACAAGGGGACATAATCGCAGCATACTCTAGTCCTGATAAGGCTGTCAAACAGTTTAGAGCCTTGGACAAATAAGGTGTCCTGCAAATCTCTGCCCTTTCTTAACCAGTCAGAGGGAGGAACCTCTGCCTCAGAGTTTATAAGATATAAAGGGCCTGGGGCCAGGAAGATTTCCAGACCAGCAAAAATCCAAGTAAGGCTGTCGAGTGATTCCATCTCTTCTCACCAGTGGATTAAAGATTGAATTTTCTTATGAGAAAAATTGAAAGTTGAAGTCCATAAATGTGTCTCCAATGCTGTTCTTCCTTGGGTAATGTAGTAAATAGACATAGTCCCCCAATGCTACCTATTCTACTGTCCTTTATTTCTGTTTATTTCCCAGTGCATTTTCCCCTCTTAAGCCCCTAAGGGAATTTACTAACACAATATGAACTGTTTCAATGCTTGAATGTAAGAACATGATTTTCATTTTAATTCATGAGATATTTTTCATTTTTCTCTAGAGAGAAATGCGTCACCTATTTTAAGTAAATTTGACAATTTAACTGAGTTGCTGCAATTCCTTGTTTTAATGAATGATTCATACATGTATATGCTCTCTGTTCCTCAATTCTTTCAACTTAAGTGTCTTTTTGTTAGACTTATGTTTCAATTTTAGAAAACCAAGAGTTGAGAAATCCTACAGAGCAGTTTAAAAATGTCAAGCAAAGTAAAAGGTTTTTTTTTTTTTTTTTTTTTTTTTTTTTTTTTTTTTTTTTTTTTTGCATTTCACTCTTGTTGCTTAGGCTGGAGTGCAATGGCACGATCTTGGCTCACTGCAACCTCCAAGTGATCCTCCTGCCTCAGCCTCCCTAGTAGCTGGGATTACAGGTGCACATCACCATGCCCAGCTAATTTTTAAAAATATTTTTAGTAGAGATGGGGTTTCACCATGTTGGCCAGGTTGGTCTCACTGACCTCAAGTGATTCACCCACCTTGTCCTCCCAAAGTGCTGGGATTACAGGGATGCACCACCATGCCCAGCTAATTTTTTATTTTTAGTAGAGATGGGCTTTCACCATGTTGGTCAGGCTGGTCTTGAACTCCTGACCTCAGGTGATCCACCCAACTTGGCCTCCCAAAGTGCTGGGATTACAGGTATGAGCCACCGCCCCAAGCCTAAAAGCAAAGCAAAAAGGTTTTCTACACACAAGTGTCCTTTGTAGAAGTCATCAGTGCAGGACCTATTAATATGAGTCCATCCCTCCCAGAGGTGTCATAGATGAAAGATGATCCAACCACACACATTTAAGTCTATATACAGCAAGGAAGCAAGAGAAAATAAGTGGGGAAGGGTTTTGAAGAGAGAAGATGCATTTAGGATAGGGTAGAGGCAGAATTGAAGGACCATGTTACTGTCATCCTCAAATATGCACTGTTCATGTGCTGTCTTTATCTCCGCTGCATCATCTTTCTGCACTGACTGTGATTATGAGATTATAAGAACCTGAATTGAGGGTTGAAAAAGTGGGCTCCAGGCAGAAGGTGCTCAAGGTCAGGGACATGCATTTGTTCTATCAGAGTGTCACAGAGGCAAGCTCCCCACCCAGAGCTGTAGCTCACCAGTTCATGTGGTGTACTGCCATGGAATTCATGCAGAGGAGTAAAAAACATACGAGGGCCATAATGTGACTACATTAGGTATCACCAATAGGTGGGCAATGTTATACAGATGTTAGGTCAATATATATATACACATGCATATATATATATGTGTGTGTGCACACATGTGTGTGTTGGCTCAGATCATCATGGAGGCTAATTCCCAAGATCCTCAAGCTAGAGACCCAGGAAAGCTCATGGTATAGTTCCAGTCTGAGTCTAAAAGCCTGACAATCAGGAACATGAAGCGTGCGAGTCCCAGCCTGAGGGCAGAAGAAGACCAATAATATCTGAGTTCAAGTAGTCAAGTGAAAAAGAGTGAATTCTCCGTTCCCCTGTCTTTTTGTTCTATTCAGACCATCAACAGATTGGATGATGCCCAGCCACGTTGGGAAGGACGCTTTGCTTTACTTAGCTTACCTATTCAAATGCTTGTCTCCTCTGGAAACACCCTTACAAACACACCCAGAAATAATGTTTAACCAAATAGCTGGGCACCCCGTGGCCCAGGTAGACTGACACGTAAAATCAACCATCACACTGACTCATCTATATTTAACAGATTTTATTAATTCTGTGGTGTTCCACAGCCTTCTTCTAATACTTCTGTACTTAAGATATCCTATAAATTTGCCTATGTTATTTACATCTAAGTTTATTACTCCTTATTGATTTTAACTATTTTCTTTTCTTGCCTTGATAGCACAAGTCCATACTCTCAAATAATACAGATGAAACATGTTATAAAAGTTAAATTGTTACAGAATTATAAGCTTGAATGCTAGAAGACTATGGATAAACAGCATTAACATTCAGAAAGAATTTGTGAGAAAATAGATATTTTTGGAAACATATAAAGTTAAAATATTATTAACCTTAGATGATTTCTGAAGATGTGAAGATATCCAACAGCAAAACAAAATAAAGATTACAATAGGACTAGAAGTTCTAGCCAGGAAAACTAGGCAAGAAAAGAAATAAAAGTCATCGAAATTGAAACAGTAGAAGTAAAATTATCTGTGTTTGCAGATGATGTGATCTTATATATCGAAAATCCAAAGAATTCACAAGGAAGCTACTAGAACTAATAAATGAATTCAGCAAGGTGCAGGGTAAAGGTCAGCACAAAAAAGATAATATTCAACATTATAAGAAGTCTTAATACGTTTCAAAGGATTAAAATCATACAGAATGTTGTGTATTTTCTGACAGAAAGAATGTCTCTATAATTCAAAAATTAAAAAAAGATATTTTAGGCTGGGCACACTGGCTCACACCAGTAATCCCACCACTTTGGGAGGCCGAGGTAAGAAGGATCATTTGAAGTCAGGAGCTCGAGACCAGCCTAGGCAACAAAGTGAGAACCTGTCTCTACCAAACAACGAAAAAGATATTTAAATATCATCATGTGCATAAATTGAGGAATAAATATCTTAATAATCAATGATCAAAAAGTCATAACAATAATTAGAAAATATTTCAAATAAAAATGATTACAAAAAGGCCACAGTTCCAAACCTGTAAGATGTAATTAAAACAGTATATAGAAAGGGATTTATAGAATGAAATGTATTAGAAGAGAGGAAAGCTTGAAAACAATACACTAACAAACCATTTCGAGAAATTTGTAGCGCAAAATAGATTCAAAGAAAAAAGAAGCAAAAAATAAAAAATAAAAATAGCATAGATTTTAAAATTTCTGAAAAAAAATCACAAAGCTCAACAAAGCCAACTGTGATTCTTTGAATATCAGAAATGAAAAAGAGGCATCAGGTTAGGCAGATAATAAATAACTTTAATAAATAGATTTATTTATTTATTTAATAGTTAAGGACATAAAGAACAATTACATGCCAATTTATCTGAAATATTAGAAGATATTGACAAATGCTTAGAAGTACGTTACTCAACAAAAGTAATTATGGAATCATCATTTTAAAACTATAGTTTTATAACAATAAAATACCACCACACCCAGCTTATGTTTTTGAATTTTTAGTAGAGATAAGGTTTCACTATGTTGCCCAGGTTGGTCTCGAACTCCTGAGTTCCAGTGATTCTCCTGCCTTGGTGTGCCAAACTGCTGCGATGACAGGGGTGAGCCACTGCACTTGGCCCTATCACAGTATTTTACCACAATACCAGATTAATGGATAATATAGTCAACTCAGTAGATGCAGTAAACATATTTGATAAAATACATCAGCTGATGATGACAAAAATGAGCAAACAATACAAAGAAACATCTTTAATTTGGGAAAGTTTAAAATACCCTACATCAAACATCATGTTTTTACAGGGTAAGATGCTGATACCTTTCTCTCTGATAAGAAATAAGATAAAGGTACCCATGATTACTATTTTTATTAAAGTCTTTGTTGATGGTTCTAGATAGAGTACATACAGCAACATTAAGGAATAAAAGATAATATAGAAAGAAACTCATTCACAGGTGAATCATTATGTATATAGAAAATACAAAAGAATTTACAGATACGTTATTAGTTAACCATTAAGAAACTCAATCACAGGTGAATAATTATGTATATAGAAAATACAGAAGAATTTACAGATAAATTATTAGAGTTAACAATTGATTTACAAAAAGCAACTGGAATTTGCTGAACCAGCAACAGTAAGTGAATAGAAAAAATGATAATAGGATGAGAATATCTGATACTTAGGAGTAAATCTAAGAAA